AGAGAGAGAGAGAGAGAGAGAGAGAGAGAGAAGCAGTAGTAAAGCACGGATTAATATAAGCATCTCTTCTATTAGCAAAGAAGAGGGAGAAACGGAAGATATTTTTTTTCCACATTTATTCTAATATCACAGTACCATAATACATGTATTACGTTTATTAGATAGGGCCTAGTTATACATCAATTACTTTTCCAGTAATGACTGAAGGTTTACTGTTAGCTCAGACGTTTGGCACACAAATCAGGACAGCACAATTAAGCTGCCGGTTTTTAAAGTTCTATTCAACAAAGCGCTTTTAGCACGCACTTTGATTTTCTTCCTTTCTTTCCTTCCATTCCTCGCTCTGTGTGTCATTCGTCACGCCTTTACCTCTCAGTTTCGGTCATTTATTCACAAAACTTCATTGTTATAGATCCCAACAACCTGTCCCGGTGTCCGCAATCTCCAATCACTCTCCTGAACTTGTGTAACTGTTGTACCACGTACCGTGTTTCCTTCTCCCCCTGCCTCAATGTCCTGCTCTCTTCACACGGACGGAGAACCGCGCATAAAAGTTGTTTTCCGCTAGGTTGGTATTCATAACAGCTTGTGTGTATACTGCGCGGACCACAAAGTGACAAAGCAATCTAATGATAACGGGCGCCTTTAGCAATGCTGGCTGGTGTGTAGGCTAACTCCTCGCCTCCCCCTACCTGACTGACAGCCTGACAGATCGAGCGAGTTTCCGCAATGAATCCGCAAGTCCATTGACTTGGTCTGGCACTGGCGAACGGGTGATAAAAACGCGATTCTAAAACGGGTTGTGACATGATACTTGGCGACTCAGCTTTGAGGCTCAACAAGGGAGCACTATTTCTCTGAACAAAAGAAAATACACAAATATGTGCATTTAGAGAAAAGGAAATGTAAAAATATTTGTTATCTAATATATGGTTAGACTTTTAAAAGGGAAATTATTCTTAATTATAAAATCCGCTCACATTGTGCACATTTATTATTTAGTAAAACTAAATAGCGCCTCAATCACAAACCGGAATCCGTACTTGTCACGTGATCATAATAATCGGAGCGCTCTCGATGAATAGCGTTTCCAATAAAAACATGCGTCGAGACAAGTTGGCGACCAGCGCATAGTCTCGGGGGTCAGTTCTAGACTTACACATGTACTTTCGGAAAGAAAAAAAAAGTAGCACACTAGAGTAGCACAGCAAATGGATAGTATACCATCGAGACAGACTGATGGATGCGAACGAGCAGGAGTAAAAATTCGAGAGACAAGTTGTTTTTGTTTTAGTTTTAGTTTTAGCAGGAGGTTCGCGTGTCAACTTTCACGACGATCAGTCAGCAGGTCCTTACTTCCAGTGTATTGGCACAGGTAAGTAAAAAAACTAGTTTTTGTTGGTTCGCATCTTATGCTTGAGTGCTTCCACCGGCATCGACCCGAGAGAGGGATCAACATATGCATGTGTGTGTTTAAATGGTTAGTAAGGGCAGTCGCCCCGTTTTTTGTGTGTGTTTAGTCTTAGATCAGCACATTTTTCATTCTTGATCTTGTATTTTTTCTGTGACTATTGATGTGTTCGACAAGTGTCCAAACGATAGGCTGGACGTTTTGTTTACTGTTGATCTTATGTCTTATGCGTTCATAACTTTGCAGTGGCTACACGTTAGGCATATATTGTTGTATATGCTTGTGGAATCTTGTCAAACATATATAATAATGGTAATATATAGATATTTATGTGCACTGACTAAGTTAAAGTTAAATCTAATTAAAATGCCTGTCTCCTTGATCAGATTATAAAATCATTACAAGAAGATTAAAGAATAAGAAAAAGAACACACTTGAAACAAACGGAAAAACTTTCACTTTTGGAGACATATTTTATAATATAGTCTAGATCTAGGCCTACTTCTACATCAACGTTAATTATGTTGGTAAGAATTTTGAGTTCTTTATTTATAATGTTTGTAAAAATTTTTTCTAGATCTATAGTCTTTCCCATCTTAAATCCCATTGGTCACTTTCTCCATAGACATTATAATTATAATAAGGCTATAATGAGATAACATTAAGAACAACATTTCTTGAACTGCCTTTGCCAGATACTTCACCCAATTGTTGGAAAGGTTCAAATGATGGATTATTCATTAGCCTATGGTATACATTGTCAAAATGTTTGATAGATTAAATTATATAATTATACACTTGTAATATAATATATGGTAAACAGTGAAATTGAAAAGTTTGAAATTTTGGACAGATTATTTATAAATATAATGTTAAACATTGAAAAGTTTGATAGACTATACACTAGATCTATTTATATTATGGTAGACATTGAATCATGGGTGGTTGGCGGGTGCTCTGCTGGTGTTGTTTGCTCCTTCTTTCTTATCCAACATCTATCGTCCATCACTCCTTCTTGTTTGTGCTTGTTACTCTTTTGTTGCGCTCATCTATTCTTCGGTATTATATAATCTATGACCTTTATCATGTTTGCAAGTGCTTGCCGTTTAAACTCTTATAATAAACTAAATCATTAAAACAAAATATTGAAATTGAAATGTTTGAAATGTTTGTCAGATTATTTAATTTATAAACATAATGTTAAACATTGATATGTTTGATAGACTATATAAATATATATGGTAAACATTGAAATTGAAATGTTTGACAGATTATTTATAAATATAATGTTGAACATTGAAATGTTTGACAGATTATTTATAAATATATATTGTAAACATTGAAATGTTTTATATATTATAGTAGACATTTCCATTTGAGAGTTGTCCACTTAAATTCTTTGTCATTGAACCTTTGAGGATGTCTGTAGGAAGTGTGTTAATAAATGGCCTGCTTATTTGAGGCACCCTTGTCTATGGTATTACCTTGTTAATATAATAAGGTATTGTGTTATCAATTTGCTCCTTCAGTTTGTGCTGACTAAAAAATTATAATTTTGTCGAACTATTTCCCCAGGTTCTGAAGGAAGGCATCATGAACCCCTCGCTTATTTTCATGGAGAACCTTGAATCTCATGGCTAAGATATAGGCCTAGAAAGGATGCATTTGAGAAAGGAGGACACTTTGCGAATCAGATTATAATGGAGTTGTCAGCTTTGTATACGCGCCGTCTGTCTGGCAGTAGCAGTCGTAACAGTTTCAATGAAGACGCCCTGGAGCAGTTGGAGTTTAACATCAATGACATCAGTCGAGCCTCAAGTCCTGCCAGTGTTACAAGTGTCAGCGCACGCTCAGAAGGTACTGAACTCCGCTTTGTTTGTTTATTCATATGTGAGGCGTGCTGAAAAAATGTGAGTTACTTCTCGGATTTTAGTCAGATGGAAATAAAAGCGTCAAATGTATAGATTGAGTTTTGATAATTCATTAGTAGGAAATCATAAAAGTTTTTTTTTTTAAACTTGAAGAGAATGGCACTGGTTTAGAACAGGCTACAAATATGATCCTTGTTTCAATTTTTGGTTGATATTTCCATTCTTTGATTGCAGGAAGTAACTCATTTTGTCGGCACGCCTCACATATTCATATGACCTTAGAGCAAGCATCAGAGTACCATTAAGTTACAATCAGAATACTGAGTATGTATATAGCTTAACATTATTATTATTTATATTACTGTTCATTTATTATTATTATGCACGTGACTGTAAGCCTGTTTGTCAATGCAAGCATACTGCATGTGTGTGCTTGTTTGTGTGTGTGCGTGTGTGTGTGAGTGTGTGTGCGTGTGTGTGTGTGCGTGTGTGTGTGTGTGTATATGTGTACGTGGTGAAACACCAAACCAGTGTGCCAGGATCTGGACAATAAAGATATCTTATATCTTATCTTATTTTTAATACTTGACTCTATGTACATTTTTGAAATTGCCACTTCACCCATCCATGAATGTTTCTTTTGTTTTGAGGTGAAATGATAGATAAGATGGGATTGGTTGGTCACTTTGTGATTCACTGATACTCTCATTACGAATTGTTGTACGTAACTGGAAAGCTACTCGCATTATCTTCTTATATATTGCAGCTGTGGAATAACCAAACATGTACTAACTTAATTTTAAAAAACCAAACGCAGAATTAAAACAAATTCCTGATGGAAGAGTCCAACAAATCAAGATCACCTGATTTTGCTTTCAAGATGGTGTCTTTTGTGCCATCCCACACATAATCATAATATAGAATAGCTCAAATATTCGTATTTGACATTCACTTTTGTGTGTTATCTCTTCGTTCTTTCTTATTTTTTCTTTACTATTCCCAGAGGATGCAGCTGCGAGCGCGTAAAACCCTAGCTACTAAACCTAAACCATTCCCAGGGGATCGAGTGCTCTGTCTATCATAAACTAAAGAAATGACAACTTTGGGAGCAGTAAAGTGTTACTCTCTTGTGAAAACAAACAGTTTTGTACTGCAGGCCAAACTTTTTAATTTTAAATTTTCCCTCAAGATATTTATCCTTGGAGCTCGTTGCTTTAGTTTGTAATTTTATCTCGTAAGATTTACATATGTTTAGAGGGTGCCATTGTTAGGTTATCATCTAATTCTTTATTTTCTTCTTCTCTCTCCGTCTGTCATTTCCATTTGTCTGTCTGTCTGTCTGTCTGTCTGTCTGTCTGTCTGTCTGTCTGTCTGTCTGTCTGTCTGTCTTGCTTCCATGTGGCTCTGAGCCTTGTATAGTATGTGTATGTTGCCTTATCCGTGAGCTCTTTTCTCCCGTAGGTGGTTGGCGGGTGCTCTGATGTGGTTTGCTTTTTCTTTTCTATCGAACATCTGTCGTCTTTTTCTCCCCTCCTTCTTTTTTGTGTTTGTTACTCTCTTGTAACACCTCTAATCTTCGGAACTTATATGTCCTTATTGTGTTGCAAGTGCCGTAAAACTCTTACTAAAACTCTTGTCTCCCTCAGGCCATGGGTCGGGATTCCGCGAGCGGCGACATCGCAACTCTGCTCGAGGAGATGATGACTACTTGTATCGCAAAAAGTTCACGAAGATAAAAGGAGAACTGGAACTAGAGAGAATCAAAGCGCGACAACTTCAGCACGAGAGAGTGGAAGAAATGAGGAAGTTGAGGGAGGCCTTCGAGAACGACAAAAAGTTGGAGATGGTTTCTTTGCAACATCGCCTCGAGGAGGAAAAGAAAAAAGAGGTTTGTTGATTCTATGTGCAGAGTATGATTTGTGTGTGCAGTGTAAGGAAGGATGTTCCTACTGTGCTAATGATGTAGAAGATGGAGTTATTTTTGTCTTTGCACTCTAGATTTGTGTTCTTGTTTCTTTTTTCTGAATGCTTGTGTTTGTTATTCAGCTTGACTGGTGTGTGTGTGTGTATGTGTGTGTGTGTGTGAGAGTGTATGTGTGTATGTGTGAGTGTGTGTGTGAGTGTGTATGTGTTGGTGTGTGTGTGTGAGTGTGTATGTGTTGGTGTGTGTGTGTGTGTGTGAGTGTGTTTGTGATTGTGTTGGTGTGTGTGTGTGTGAGTCTGTGTGTGTGTGAGTGTATTTGTGAGTGTGTGTGTGTGTGTGTGTGTGT